GTAAATTATTAACAAATGATTTTATTTTTTCTCTAATTAAACACAAACTGTTAACATGTTAATTGCTGAATGAATGTTAACATAATAATAATATGTATAAAAGTTTAAAGTAGCAACAATGTCACAATTTATATAGGTATGTAGGTACATAAAAATACGTTTTTGCTTGTCTCAAAAGTCTATTTATAAACACACAATTTCGCATACACGACACACCCATACTTTGAACAACAATTTGTGGTTCACAAAAAATGTTTTAATACGACATTAAAATTCAATTAAGATAAATCTAACGTCAGTATTGTGTATATGAAGGTACATTTAAAAAACTACAATTCGTCAATAAAAAAAAATATGAATTGTGCTTCAAAAGCCTCGATACCACGTCAGAAGGTTGACAAAAGGATGAAGAGGCCTGAAGGCACTTCTTGAAACGGAACACAGCAAAAATATGTCTTTAGAACCCTAAGCACCGGTAGGTAGTTTGAACTTTACTCCATAATTTATACCTTTAAATAATACCTACTATATTTTCATGATCTAATATTTTAACAATGTAATTGTAAAATATACCCAATTAACAAAATACATGAATTAAAAAAAAATTAAAAACAATTAACTATATTCAAAAAACGAAGGATGTCCAAAGTAAGACTTGTGACGTCTGTAACTTTTTTATTATTTACCATTATAATACCACAGATAAAACAAAACAAAATAGGTATTAGGTATCTAGTAGGTACTTACCACAAAACAATAAAAAAATAAAAAACAAAATAATCATGTTGTTTTTTTAAACTGTTCGCACAAAGCACATAGTCGTTTGGCGCCTGACTTTGGAATAACATACTATAAACAAATTCACATGACTATCTACCTGATCAAAACTGAGCAGATTATCATTGCCATGCAAATTTGAAACTTAAAATTTTGACAATAAAGTGTATTTTGCCGGGAAGTCAATTGCAAAAGTTAAAAGTAGGTAAGTATCTATGCATATGCGTCAACAGAACATGTTTTATTATAGACATACTGATTAAAAAAATAAATAAATGTATCTATTCAGTGGCTGTAAACATTTTGATTAAAGACATCATCACTGATTGTGTGGTTACAGGTGCTAATACCAAGCCAGACATATTATCAGTACTGTCGAAGTACCTACGATCGGTTTTTTCGTAAATATTCGGAAATCCGAACTAAAATTTATTACCTATATAATATGTTGGTCGTAATTGCAGTCACACTTACGACCAACAAGTCGGGCAAGGGTTCTCGGATTCGATTCCCGGGTCGAGCAAAGTAGATACTATTGGGTTTTTTAAATAAAACTCAGTTGTAGCACGGAGTCTGAAAATGTGCCTAGTATATGGCAATAGGTTCACCCCCTATTACATGGGACTCATAACATAAATAGTGATAAGTGGGTGTTACATTGTACTGTGGTATTAAGTGCCGTAATGTGCACCTCTGCCTACCCCCTCGGGGGTAAAAGGCGTGATGTTATGTTATGTACCAACCAGAAATCAAACTTGACGATATAAGAATGAAATCCTGAGAAGTTAGTCCGTGGAAGAAATAGCAAGCCTGATTTACACATTTTTTTTAAGGGGGAAAAATCATCGAATGACTGCTCCCGTCTGGGTGAGGCGGGAGGGAGTGTCAGACTCTTACTGACTAAAAACCACCCCGTTCCTTCTCCTACACGTCACTTACATACTTAGGTACCTATCGATAACGGGATAGGTGACAAAAATAAAATAACACTTATCATAAACGCAATGAAAAACAATAAGAACTTTTTTTATTAGTCCGACTGAGACACACACACACAATGACACAATAATTATATACAATCAATCAATACATAGTATAAAACAAAGTCGCTTTCGCTGTATGTCCGTATGTATGCTTAGATCTTTAAAACTACGCAACGGATTTTGATGCGGTTTTTTTTAATAGATAGAGTGATTCTTAAGGAAGGTTTGTATGTATAATACATGCATATTGCACCCGTGCGAAGCCGGGGCGGGTCGCTAATATACAATAAAGTAATGTGGAGGCAACTGACATATTTACAGAACGTACGATCTTAGCACAAGACATAATTATTATAATTAGAAATTCATAAAAAATGCTATAAAATAGATTATTTTGACCGAATCGTATGTTAAGTAAAAACGCGGGTTACTCACGTGAATATACTGAGAAAAGCTCTACTAGTTTCGAACCACAGAGCTCACGAGTGAGCTGCGCGACGTCGCCGCGACCGCGCACGCTGCTCATGAGGAAGAACCCCTCTGTGGTTCGAAACTAGTAGAGCTTTTCTCAGTATATTCACGTGAGTAACCCGCGTTTTTACTTAATTTAGTATGTCTCACGATAGTTATTATAAAAACGAATCGTATGTACCTAATTGTTGAAAAGTGAATAACCAGGTACGTTTATGTTGACTTTTCATATGAGTCCTGTATAGGACTCAATCCAGCTGTGGACGATGACAATATGGACAAACCTGAGTAATAGGGACCAGAGTTTTTTTTAAGGGGCGAAATTCATTGAATGAGTTCTCCCGCTGCC